TAGATGGATAGATAGATAGATAGATAGATAGATAGATAGATAGATAGATATTTACTGTTAAAGCTTGTATGTGTGTATTTTGAATGGAAAGTAATTACAAATCAAAGTAGAGGTGAAATTAGCGACATCTTGTGTAAAAAAGTCACTATTGCAGTTCTTTGCTGAACCCTAAAGGTCTGTGAAATTACAAATGTTGAAAAATGGGAAAATAAAAATACATTTCAAGATATTATTAATAATATTCATAATTTATATTATATAATTTTATTTTATATAAAATTATACACCCACACATATATAAAATAAAAGTTATAGGCCTATTTGTAAAATCATCTAAGATATTAAATAACTATAAATTTAAATAAATTATACATATTACTAATATACATATACAATTCAAAGTTATAATACATTCAAGTTATATACATATAAAATTATAATGATAAACATATCAAATTGTAAATAAATATTGAATTTTCTAAAAAAAAAAAAGTACTATCACAAAACAGCATCATTTTTAAATAAAACAACTTAGAAGTTACTTGAAAAGCTACAATAATGACATAAACCACAACATGAAACATAAATCACCTTGCCTGCATTTACACCTAAAACACAATTGATAGTGTAGTAAGACTGTTAAAAGTATATTTAGCAGAACAAAAATCACATTTCATGTGATGCTTCTATTATTCAAGATGACAACGTAAAAGTGTTTAGTATTTTATGTTTGATCTTCAGCTATCTAAATCGTTGTAGATTCCCATCAATAGGCTCAATATGTCACGTGTGTCTCTGCGCAGAGCAGTGCCGCCTCCGTCCGCTTCGCGTCGCTGCCGCGCTCGGTGACGGCACGGGGATGTAGCGCGCGGTGCGGGCGGAAGCGGGTGGGATGATGGCTGCGGATCAGCGGGACTCCAGCAAATGGCTCTTCACACGAGAACAGCTCGAAAACACGCCGTCCCGCCGCTGCGGAGTCGAGCCCGATCGCGAGCTCTCGTACCGACAGCAAGCCGCCAACCTAATCCAGGACATGGGCCAGAGATTAAACGTGTATCCTTCACAAAAACAGCGGCGTTGTGAGGGAGTTAGCCGTTAGCACATTAGCACGCTGCCGCTTTTGATCAAGCGGAAAAAGTGGCGGATCAAATGCGATGTTTTAATGTGTTAAAATTCACACCAACCGCACAAGTTTTTCATAAATGGCGTGTTAAATGCGTTATAAAGTGTATTCTGGGGGTATAAAGTGAGTAAATGTGTGAAATACAGGCGTGCGAATGACAGGAATTGGATTTGGTGACTTAAATTAAATCAGGATTAAATCTATCCTATTATGGTTTTTGCCTAATTTCATATGTCTTTTAGGGGTTTAAGGGTGATTTAGACGTGACTGGTGTAAGATAATAGCTAAACACAAGATGTGTCTGTTGTATGTTGTGTTATTGTCTATAAATATGTCTTTTTTTTAATTATCTTTTATTATAGATTATTATTCAGTGCAATATCTATATTAGTGTAATTTGGGACTATGATCTGTTTTAATGTGATTATGAGTGATAGTTTCGAAGATTATGATTTATGAGTATTATATTTTTGGATTATATTACATATAATAGCTTCTTTTGCAGTGTTTTTGTTCCTTGATGAAACTGTGCAGATCCCAGCTCACGATTAACACAGCAATCGTCTATATGCACCGGTTTTACATGCTTAATTCCTTTACAAAGTTCCATAGAAATGTGAGTATACATTTTTTAATTAATTGTTTATGATTTGATTGTACAAAATGTTCGTATTTGTTTCATTTGTATGTGTTTGTTGACCCACTAATGCTAAAAGATCTTTCAGGATTTCACTCTGTTTTAATTGGCAGAACTAGACCCATACGTAACCCTGTTGTTTATTGATTTTTGTGTTCATTTTAAAGGTATAATAATTATCTTCTGTCTATCAGATAATTTCTCCCACCACACTCTTTCTGGCTGCTAAAGTGGAGGAGCAACCAAGGAAACTTGAACACGTTATTAAAGTAGCACATGCTTGCCTGAACCCTCACGACCCACCGCTGGACACCAAGAGCAATGTGAGTGTGGGGGCTTATGTATGAAGGTATTTTTGGTGCAAAACAACTGAGCGTCTGTGACACGGGATTTTGAAGTTGTAGAGAATAGCCACACCTGTGTATCAGTAAATTTGAAGTCACAGACAAAAGTTGCAAACTTGTAGTTTTTTTTCTCTCTCCCACAAACACAACACAACAGTTACATCTTCTCGAATCCTTCATTGCAGGTGCACAAATCCTATTCACGAATCACAAATCAAGAAACTCGCTTTTTCCTCTCCCACAAACACAACACAATAGTTACACCTTCTCGAATCCTTCACTGCAGGTGCACAAATCTTATTCTACGAGTCACAAATCAAGAAACTTGTACGCTCACATGTTTTGCTACTATTGCTGCAGTGAATATTGTGCAAAACACATTCACACACACCTGCATCAAAAAATGTGAAGTCACAGACAAATTTTGTACATCCGCAAATCAGTACGTGAATTCTTGTAATGAGAGTTGCACGCTTGTAGAATGTTTTCTTACACACACACACACACACACACACATATATATATATATATATATATATAGGCCTATATATATCATTTTTTATTTCTTGGATGCCTTTCTAGCACAAACACAAGTACATAACGACAACGGCTTGAATCTGCTTGCAAATGACAAGTTTCGCGCACTCCCTTTTGCAGCACATATCTGTGTGAAATATGGTGCAAAAGTGATTTGTGCATCTGTAGAGGCAACGGTGGGCACTGTTCAAAGATCAAGAGAATTTTGGCCAATCAAGAAGAGCTAGTTTGGGCACCTATCAGCAGGGAGAAAAAAAAAAACAACGAGCTGCGCGAGCATCTTCTGGAGCTGACAGCGGCAACCAATAAAGGTACATTTTCTTTCTTTTTCTGAAATCACTCACTGTTATACTGTACATTTGTTTATAGTTTAAATATTAAATGAGTTTAGCTCTAACCCTGATAAAACTCGCCTACCTTGTAGCCTTCTAGTAATCCTAACTAAGTTAATTGGTAGAGGTGTGTTTGATTAGGGTTAAAGCTCAACTACAGGACAGTGACCCTCCAGTACCAAGTTTGCCCATCCCTGCTTCAACTCACAAAGAGACTTTATAAAAGATTGATTAACCCGTCAATTAAATAGATTATTATGAGAGTATCATATACAAGATGATTAAATATATTTGTTAATATATTTAAATTATTAACAAATGTACAGTATAACAGTGAGTGATTTCAGAAAAGAAAGAAAATGTACCTTTATTGGTATTTGCTGCTGTCAGGTCTGGAAGATGCTCGCAGCTCGCGAAAGTTTTTATTTCATTTTTCCCCCTGCTCGTTCGGGTGCCAAGTGATAGGCACCTAAACTACACTGTAAAGAGATTGCTGTAAATTTTACAGTAGCTGGATGTATTACTGTATTTTCATTTAAAGTATTATTACTGTATTGTCAGTATTAGTACTGTTCAGTTTATTTAAATTTTTTACCTGTATAAAACAATCCAATTGTGGTACAACACTGTATACCATATTTGTTTCCAACCCCATAAAAATCACAATAACTCATTAGCATTTGTATTTATAATATTCTTTTTAATTGTTGAACATTTTCTTTTTAAAAATACAAAATGCACTAGCTGAAAAAAGGGCATCACCACAGTCCCCTGGCGACTTTGTATCTGTAGCATGGCAAAACAGGCTTTACAGAAATAAAACACATTAAAAAGTAGTTTGTGTTGTTGTGTTAAATTTCAGTCATTTTGGCAAAGCTGACAAGCTCTCTTATAAGAAACACCACGAGGGGATTCAGGCTGATGCTTTTTCTTTGCACCCTCTTTCCTGAATTCCATCTGATCTGTGACTCTGAATGGCATTTGGTGCCACCAGGGTTGGTTCTCGGAATGAACCTGCAAGCACAAAAAATATATTTCAAAAGTTTTTACAGAATTTACCCCAACTGTCAGACTTAGTGCTGTATGTGCTTTGAGATTAATTAACACTATATACTATCTGAACGCACCTACAAGGAAGGTGCATAATTGGTTGATAATCCATCACAAATGATTAAAGCTCCATTCCTTATAATGCATTCCTGTAGATCAAACAGTAGAGCCAAGTCACCATTATTTATATAGCGCTTTTTACAATGA